TCTATTCCTGTGCACAATTTGCCCTTGCTCAATCCATACTGTCACTTGCCTAGAACTTATTTAATTTCACATCTCAGCAAATACAGTTTTATTTATGCAGGAGAGCTGTCTTCTGATAGCATCAGTCTTCTGGTTATTTATCATACATATCTGTAATTGAATTACCTATTGCAGTAATGTGATCTACTCTCAAATGTACATGAAAATGCAACATAAAATAAAATTGTTCCAATGTGTACCTCCCCATCCTGCTACAGGAGCCCTAGGGAAGCCAGTCCCACAGAGATACGGTGACAAGTAATGAAGGACAGATGGGAAGATAAAGATTAGTGAGTTCACAGCCTTTCAGAAATAAAAGCAATTCACTCTCTAAAACTTTATATTCTTTCAAAATGCAGTGTTCTTCAATACTAATCAGGAAACCAATTCCAGTGTATGTGAGGAAAAAAGAGTAAAGAACCATTTAATTTTTTCCAAATGCAGCAATACTATCCTAATACATTTTAAAACTTAGGAAACAGAAGTTAAGTGCTCATCTTTGCTCCTGTCAAATAACCATTAATCCTGGACAATAAAAGCGGTAAAGAAAAAGAAAAAGACAACAGCAACTCCTTTGAGAAGAGTTTCTGTTTTCTTGAGCCCACGGTTGGGTTAATCCTATTTTAAATGTCATGCCCCAGGGAAATATAACTTGTCTTTGAAGTTGCTTCAGAATACTATGAAATTCAGAGTCAAGTTTCCTTAGCTCTAGAACTTTTAGATGACAAAGATTAACTGTGTCAATACCAGTACATTATAATAAATTACTTATTATACACAACCTTTTCTTGGATCAAGTTTTCGTTTGCTTTGCTCCGTTTGGCTTAAATCCTGAATCAAAACTACTTTATCTATGTATTTTCTAGCTTACTTTAATTTTTCTCTTCTTTTCTTGCCATTAGAAATTGATTCTATATATCTAGATAACAAGAACCTGATAAAGTCATCAAAGAAATCGGTGATATATTTATCAAGCTCACCAAAAGTTGCTTTTTCAAACTACTTCCCGATGAGCTAGCTACTCCTCACCTGTTGAATTTATCTGGATGATGCTACCAATTTGTGCAGGAATTAAGAGACAGCAGATTGCCCCCTATCTACAGCAGATCATGTCTACAAGGCTAGCAATCAGAGTGACAAAAAACAGAAATTTTCAACAAAACTTCTGCACCTCAGTTTTAAAAGGTTGCTGCAGACATACGTGAAAATGTCTATGTTACCAACAACAGTACACAAAGACAGTATAAACAACTTAAAGTCCATATACATACGCATTTTAGGACTCAAGAAAATAGTTCACTTTCTATGTATAAATGTGCAAATAAATGAATGTGGGCAGAAATGCACAAGGTCCCACACTACACACTTTGTACCTTTGTGTAACTCAATTTGTTAGACACCATAATTTACATTTTAAAAATTATTTAACACTAAACATAAAAACATAAAAATTTGTCACCTTGTGGTTATAATTATATCCTAAGCAATTTGTCTAAGTAGCTATAGCAACAATTTCAGAAACATTTTAAAATACAAATATGGTACAATTTTAGAGTCAAGAATTATGGAGGATTTACTGCAGGATGTGGCTACTTCTCTCAAACACTTGTGCATAGACTACTACAAAAATGGATTCCTTGACTCTATTTTAAACTAATTAACTTGTTCTGTCCTGCAAACCATAGGATTTGTAACCCAAACCTCTTTTTAGGATTAGTTCTAATCTTGGTGAACTCTAGAGTTCATGATTACTTGTGTAGGTAATGGAACACCTTTAGACCTTCGGCTGGACATTTAACGAAGTTCTGTTTCCCCCTCCCCCACTTTCAGCTGTGTGTATCAGAAGCAAAGCCTCAATTTCAGTGACTTTACAACAACAACAAAAATGGACATTTGGAATCATTCAAAGTCACCACCAACTTAATAAAAATAATGTAATGGTTCCATTAAGCAGCTCTCTCTAGTATCAGGAGCATATGACAGAGTCCCAAGGAGCTGACATCTGTTATCTGGAGCAATTAGCGTGCAGCACAGAGAAAAGTTTGTTGTGTTTAACACCACATCTCTGATCAACAGTCTAAAGTGAAGCAAGGGGGAGGCATAGCTCAGTGGTAGAGCTGGTGCTTAGCCTACCTGAGGTCCTGGGTTAAATCCCCAGCACCTCCATTAAAAGATAAATAAATAAATAACCGAATTACCTCCCCACCTCCTGCTACAAAACAAAACAAAAAAAAAAACTGTACTCTTCAAAGTACACACAGTTAAAAACAAATTAAAATAAAGTGAAGCAAGATTTCTTGCTGCAAAGCATGGATGGAAATTCAGAAGCTCTACAAACTCTCCAAAACTTAAGCAAAAGTTTACGTGAACGTGGGGATAGTCACCTTGCTCCCACAGCCAACATCTGTACCTTTCTATACTATCCAGACATGGAGAAGAAACAATTTTAAGAGGAAAAGGCACTGAAGAACACAGGTTTATTTTTACCAAGTTCTGAACATCTCAAAAACTTCTTTTGGACAAAAGCAAGCTTTACCACCCAGGAGACCAAAGTCTTTGCTCTCAGCAGGAATCTCACAGCTGTTAGCCATTAAAACAACCAAATAAGTTAGTGCAATTTGTAAAAAGCATAAAATGATTAGCATCATCCATCTTCTCCTTGTTAAGAAAAGTACATATCAGCTAAAAGCGTGTGAAAACATGTACCAGTTCATCATCCCTGTGGTTCCACGAGTATGCAAATGATCAGCGTGACCAGGGCAACACGGTGGATGACCTGCTATTTCATGGCAAAGTTTTTTCAGGAAAGAAATTCAAGGAAAAAGAAATCTGTTTCAAGTGACCCAAGTAGTTATATTTTGGACTGCTTTTTCATTTAAGACATACATGGAAAAAAATCTTTTGGGGTACAAAATCCTGTTTCTTTAAAGACAACATAGACAAGAAAAGTGATTTAAGTGATACACAACTTAAGGTATTATCTGCTTGAATAAAATGGTGAACTGGCCACTCTAAATAGTGCATGATAAACTTTACCCTCTCTTCAATAATGAAACTGGCATGAATTAACAATTAATTTAGCAATCCTAATTAGGTATTAAAAATCTTCCCTAGTAAAGTCTGTTTTTGTCTTTCTGCATCTCCTTAGGAGAGACTAACTCTATAATAATAACATGTCTGTTGTTTGCAAACTTGACCATCATGACTGAGACCTTCTGGATAAGCTGACTGTGACATACAATTGTTTTCCTTAAAAACAAAATTCAATATAAACCTCAATTTAAAAAAAAATTTAACAATCATATGTACCTCCTGGCATTTTAAGCAATATGCTCTTGATGAGAACTTCATGTCAGTATTAAACATAACTCACATTATCTTCACTCAATTTTTATTTCTTTTTTAATAAACACAAGGGTCACAGTAGGGAAGACAAACTCACAAACAGGAAAAGTTTACAGGGATACGTTTGTCTCTGGAAGGAGTCTATTTAAAGGACTTGAGTTTGGCAACCACCTTTCCGGTCCCTTCTTGCAACAAGGCTGACAACTCTCTCTGGTCAAGAGATTGGCTCCCCGGTACCCTCTACCTCTATGAAATTATTGCAAGATCTGCCTGGTCCTGGTGTTTGCTGACTAGGACCCCCACCCACTCACCGGCAGAGAGCAACTGCTCCTAGCATCCTCTCGCTCCCTTCCAGCGCTCGCTCTCAGCGCCCCCTGCCGGGGATCCCCGGGACGCCGCAAGCGCAAGAAAGTTAAATCCCAACTCCAAACAGCCGCAACCAGGTACAAAGCAAGGAAAGGGCGAGGAGGTGAACACGCTTCCCGCCAAAGCCCGGGGAATCAGGATCTGACTGCGCCGGCCAGGCACTGGGCGCTGCGGGGAGCCATCCCGGGGAGACTCCTACTCGGCAGCGTTTTCCCCGCACATCTTGGGCGGATCAGTACCCGCCAGGGCCCAGATCTACCTCTGGCTCCGAAACCTTGAGCCAGAGGATGCGAAATCCTGGAGCGGCGGAGAGATGCCCGCAGAAGGCAATTGGCCTGGCTGCAGCCCACCGGGCAATTGGTTCCCCAGGCCTACACATCCCCAGCCGCGGCGTTAAGGGTGGCCGCCAGCCTCAGTCTCCCTCATTAATCAAAGGGCTTGGCGGAGTTGAGCCTAAGTCCCACTGCCTCCACGTCTCTCGCGGGCGCCGCAAAGCCCCTGTAACTGGACCAGGAGAACCCTGACCCCGGCAGCGGCAAAAGGGCTGCTAAGTCCCGGCCACCGGGACCCCTGCCATTCGCTCCCGACAATGGGAGCCGAGACACGCGCCGGGTGCGTGCACAGACCTCCACTGCTCACCTTCCGGAGATGTCGGGTAGGGGTCCCCTCTCTCCCACCACCGGGTCGCCCACCGGGTTGCTTCTGCTCCTTATCTCTGCACGCTCGCCGTCGTTAAAGGCAGACACAAACTTCCAGCCCGCTTACAAGCCCCCGCACTGATGGCAGTCCTAATCCTGTACGTGCAACCCCCTGCCCAGTGCCTGCAAAAAGATCCTGCCCGAGATCCACAGACCCACCCGCCGACCACTGCCACCCCCAGGTCCTGGCCCCAACGCGGTTCGGTCGGGGCTGTGGCCACCGCCGCGCAGGATCGGGACAGGGGGTCGCTCACCAGGTGCGCGGAGCGCTCCCCGTGCCAGTCATCCAGCGCCTGGGGCCCGGAGCAGCTCTGAGGCTCTTCTTCAGCGCGCGGAGAGGGAAGTCGAGGCAGCGGCTGCC